AAAACCAGGATAAAACATGTTTTAACATAAGGAGAAAGGTAATAAAAATAACCTAATTAGATCAAAATGCAGGACATTTTCCTTAAAGGAGGAAGCAGGGACAGCTCTGCTCCCATTCAAGCAGCCTGTGTTGTATCAATGACAAGTTTAGAATCGAGGCTAGACTGCATCGTTTCACTCTTCTTCCAAGTCATCTGCAGTAAAAAACTTGTCCTATCATGGAAAGCAGGGGAGAAGTTCTTTCTGCCAATTCAGAATGGCAGAAAGGAGTTTCTATGTACAACTCTGAAAAGGAAGATAAACATTTACAGTCAAGATTAAAGGACAGTATACTTAATGAATGAGAGAGTGAGAGCCAAGGTATATACAGAAATCAAGACACTGATAGGAAGGTGAGGTTGTACTAACAGAATAAAGATTCAACTGTATTTCAAAATGGTCTACCAACTGAGCAATAAGAATGGGGATGTGGGTGACCCCTTCCACTCCCATCAAGAAATTCTGAAGGTGCACTCTTTATCCTGAGCAGAGAAGTTTCTTGTCCTTTGGAGCTGCAGTACAAATGCAAAACAGCTTTCCCCATGATCCCACCTGCGCTGTGAAGCCACCAGATTGCTCATACGTTGTATTGCAGAGGCCAGCATGGGAAATCGTGGCTCCTATTCCCATTTAGTATGACCTCTGCGCTGTTAGTAATAAAATATGTAAAATATGAGCTATGCTTCCAGAGCATTAGATGATGATCAAGACCTACGATTCAAACATGGACAGAAATAAATGCACATTAACTTGATTTCGTGACAGTCTTTCCACTAGTTATGGAAGTAACTCAACACTTTAATGCCTGGTTACTGAATGAATGCAAGAGTAAGTAAGTTCAGATTCCTCAGTGTGGGGGACCAAGTTTAGGGTGTCCTTCAATTCACAGCTGGAATGCAAACCACGGCAGGTACTTACTGGATCACAGTGAAAGGTTTCATAGCCATCCAGTAGTGTCCTATACTCCTTACACACCAGCTGCCTTTATCACTCACCTTTGTACAGTCTCTCTGGATGCCTTTATATCAGCATTTAACCTATACTGGAATAGCATTTGTTACACAGAACTCTAACACAAGGCATCTGACTTATGAATGGGAAAAGTCTGAGTGCTACACAGGCTGGCACAAAGAAAGAGTATCCTAAAGGCTTAATTTATCTGCCCATAAACGGCAATGGGGATGGATGGATGCCAGTTATTCAATAGTACTCCATCAGCCTGTCAGCAAAGGCAAGATGACTTACGCTGAGCATCTTAAATCTTTCAAGAGGCACAAGTGTGCCCTACTTGCACTTGCATGTTGAAAACCAAGTACCACCCTACTGGGGAGATCATACCCTCTTGAGGGAGTATATCTACTTGCTGGAGAAGAGTCAACTTTCCCAACTGCTCCCAGGAATAACGTGGGCTGAAATCCCACTTGTATCCTTAGAGCACCCACACGGTACAGCTCTGTGTAGTGTGGGCTCACGTATATATTGAATGCAATATGAACCCATTCTGTACCTGCTTGTTGCAACAACTGGAGTTTAATGCAGTTGCCGAGCTATTATTTCACACTGGGGGAGTTAATGCGATCAAAATTCAGGTCTGGAGAGGTGGGAGGTTTGTATTCGGATTTGACGCACATGGCATTCATCTTCAACACTGAAAACACTTACGCTATTTATTTCACAGTCTCAGAAGGTAAACAACTCTATCATCTGCTTTAAAATGGCTAGCAGACAGCCTGAGCCTGGTGGACCTGTAAGGAGCAAGTATCAAGGAAGTGTCCTCTGAACATGTAAGAAAACCTATCAGTTTTGACCACGCACCTGCAGTACTAGTTGATTGTATTACCCAGCAGAACATAACATTATCCTCTTTCTTTTCACTCTAAGTATGAGCCTTCTCAGCTAAGAGCTCCTCAGCAAGGAAATCAAAGCAGCGTAACAACAACTTATGAACAATTACCTATTTTTGTGCATCTGTGAAGGAGACCTTGATATGTACTGACTCCCATCTACTGTGGTATCTCTGATGTTACAGGGCTAGCAGGATGGCTTTGCAATGGGAGCCCACCTCATTCCAAGTATCACTCCCAAGTGGTATTGTTGTCTGGGAGCAAATCAGTTTCAAGGGCTGACTTCATAGTGGATTAAAAGAAAGGGAAAATATTCTTGCAGCTCCTGAAAACTTCCCCTGAGAATTAGCACTACAATAAAACATGCGGCTGTGTGAGAATTCCCACAAAGCAGAAATCCTTGCAGCACAGAAAGGGAAAGAATGTATAAAATTAAGCCAGTTAAAATAGCAGTATGATCTGTCTGAACACCTTTCTGTTAAGGCACAGGTTTTTAATACAATTTTTATGACCCTTTTGAGGACAGCAAGATGGTACAGAGACCGGTCAAGGATAAATCCAAGGAGCTGGAAAAGAAAGGGCCTGAAGTTGCACTGCTCATTGGCATTTCCTAGAACAGGTCACAGAGCTGCACTGCCAATCTGTGCTGTGCCCTGAGTGGTACAGCCTGCCTCAAGGCAAAACAGCAGAGCACCTCAGTCTGGCATCACTGCACGTGGGGACAAGCTAGCTTTCCAGAGGAAGGATGAGCTTTTTTCTGCAATACTGAACTATGTTCCCTGAGAGATGGGGGTAAATCACTTTGTGGCTTTATTTATTTAATCCTTTATTACTATTACTGATACTTTCTCTGACCAGAACCAGAAGTCAGCCAAGCAACACACAGACCTGTTCTCATTCACTACTGCTGCCTCGGAGCATGCACTACATCAAAACAACAGCCCAAGAAATTCCCTCAAGAGTGCAAGTCCACTCCTCAGATCAGTTCTGCAACAAACTCATGTAATAACCTTTTCAGTTATCTCTGCCTTTTCTTGGGTACAAGGCAGACCCTTCTATTCTACCAAGTGAAACACACAATACTAAAAGCTATTCTTCCGCAGGTGAAATTTTGAAAGAGCTACTATTAACAGAAGGTGTATGGGGTGCAACAAGAGAGCAGATCACTTTGAATGACAGACTGGAAGCCACATGGATTTATACCCCTCCTCTATATGTGTGGTAGAAGAATTCTCACCTACAGGAATAACAATTCTTGTAGATTCAGGTTTTAAGTATTAAAAAAAAAAAAATCTTGGAAGTGGGGTTGGTTAAGTAGTTCAAATAGCAAAACTCTCCAGTGTACAATGCTATCATTTTAGATAATGAGACATTTCTCCATTTCCAAAAGGTTAAAGACAGACCATAAATTCTGCATCTAGCAGCCCATGGAGGCTTCTCCTAATAGCCCCGACAGCCATCATTTCATTGTCTGGGATGCATCAGGAGCAGTTAATGCTGATGAACTGGATGGCTTTGTGTTCAGAATAAAATAGGAGTAAGTGAGGCTTCATGACTTAAAGCTGCTACAGAGCTTTCTGCAAAGAAGCTGCAGGATCAGAAATGGGGGGGTGGGGGTGGAAAAAAAACCTGCAGTGTTTTTCTACAGTGAAACTAGTTAGTAACTACAAAACACTTGATGGGAGAAGAATGCAAGAGGTCATTATCTTACTATAGCCTCCATACAGCATAATCTCTGCAAACCAGACTTCAGTAGCCAACCTGTATTTCACAAAACAGGTGGCAACACTGCCCTTTAGGTGCTGGAGAGCCAGAGGATGCATGCCTCAGCCATCTGGAACTCTGTCAGCACACAGCGATGCTGGACATATAATGCACAAAGATTTGCATGGCTGATTTTCTGCTTCATGCCTTGGCAGGGGGACAGCAGAGATGAGAAGCCTTGCCCTGCTGACCACTTGTGACAAGAATTTGCTTGGTGACAGAGACCCTCAGGTGGCCAGATGAAACCAGCCATCTGTTAGCAGTGAAGTTGCATACAGCCAACTTCATGAAAAGGTAAACATTAAAACAAAGAAAAAAATTAGAAATTTAAGAAAGGATGGAGAAAAAAAAAAATAAGCTATGCTGCAGATTTTTATTTTTATTTTTCCAACAATAGAGGGCATCAGTTCTCCATCCTGTCTACAGCCCTGGCCTACTGCAAGCTCAGTGTGATACTCGAGGCACTCAGCAATCCCTGGAGAAATAGACAGCAATTTCATTTTTTTACAGAGCAACAATTTTGTGTGCGCCACCAGAAGCAAAAGAAGCAAGAGGCCTAACGCAGGCTTCAGGCAGTCAGACACCACTTCTTACTTGTTAAACAAGGAAGATGTTTTTGGTTTGAGATGCAGAGCTGCTTTTACACCAGGCATGCATTCTCACAAGAGCCATTTAAAAACACATCAGCTCTCCAAACAGACATTGAACTCAGCTGGAGTCGCAAATCTCCCACTAGCATAGGACTCCTAACATGTAAGATGGAATGAAGGAAAGAACACCACATCCTGAGAATCTCTACAGCTTATAAAGGAAGGAAGAAACAGGAGTTGGCCACTCACACCACAGCTATTGGCACAGGCACACCTCTCAGAAGGCATCTTCTGTGCACTGTATGCTCCCCACGGTTCAGTGCATGGAAGAGGGAGCTCTGAAGCAGGCCTTTTTTAGAGGGGAGCATTTCATTGCACAGTAGACCTCGAGGCGATGTTAGTGCACTTGGTCCACAAAGTCAGCCCAGGACAACACCAGAAGCAAAACTCCCATCTCCAGAGTCCCTGGCACTAATACCACATCCACATGGGCTCCTTCCCAGAGCAACATTTCTGGGCCCTGATACTCTGAACAAACACATCCTACTCAAAGCACTGGCTATATATCATAGACTGTAACCCAAGCCTCCATGTGGAAATTTCCAGCCCAAGAGATTGAACCAGATGGGCAGATCTCTCCAAAATCAGTTTCAGCTAATGAAATGGCATTGAGCATTACTTCATGTTAGCCCACCAGCTCTGACACTTGGTAAAGTCAGAGGTGACAGCTCAGGTCTCAGATTCAGGAACATGAACATTTTACCTGTGAATTCCAGAAAAATCACACAGCCAAGTTCTGTCATGTACTGAAGTTTCAGCTCAAGGGAAACAGGTAAAACACGTGCTCCCTTTGGAGAGAAAAAAAAAAAAAAATTATGATTTAAGTGGCAGAGGGACTGAGACTCATAGGGAGTTCAGTAAAGGAAAACAACTCACAATGCCACATTGCATGGAACGATCAGTAGCTGCTACAGATATAATTTATGCTGTAGAGTCAAGCACATCCCAAATTTACAGTTTTAACTATCAGTGCAAATCAACAAAAAAAGCAACATGTGAAAACAAAGCACTCATACTTAAATCCAATAGCATTCACTAAGTAAACATTTCATTTGGGTAAAGATCTGGACAAAATTACGGAGTCCTATTTTTCTATTGACAGGAGCTGAATTGGAAAACAACCAAAGCTTTGTTGAAATAACTGGTATAGCTCCTTCTATTTTCTGTTAGCATGCTAACTGTGAATAAACTATGAAGGTACCATTTATTTAAAAACATACTTAAAATCTCTCCCTTGGAAGCCCTATAGGGTGAACACTCAGCTCTACTTATCTGCTGCATCGAACAAAATCCCTGTCAGAAGCAGCACAAAGATAGAGCAGATGACTAGAGTAACTCCTCCCTGCCCCATCTTTCCTCTGCCAGAGCAAATCATCATTTATTCCCCTTTTCTTCAGAAGACATTAAGTGTGCTGAAAGCTTTCAATGTCAAAACTAAGCATATAAACAACAGAAAGTAAAATTCCCCCCAGTCTAGTCTAAACTTACAGATCTTGTGGAATCTAGGTTTTCAATGAAAGCCCCAAAAATATGCTCATATGGAAAAAGCAGGCATTTTCTATGCCATTTTATTTTTATTGCATTAATGTTTAATAGGAAAATTTTGTCCATTTCAGCCAGCTGAAGGGTGCAATATGCTCACACTTGCAGCTGGGCAGTCCTCTTGCATAGTGGGGCAGCCATACCCACACTGCTTCCTTTGTTGCTATTTCTAGGCACCAGCAAAAAACCATCATCATGGCTGTTTATACCTGTGGTTGGTCAGAGTACTGTGCGTTCAGTACATGATAGGAAGGGAACAGATAGGATCAGGACAGTATTAGTGGTTTTAGTGGATTTCCTGTAACCCATGCCTATGCAAGAAGTCTGAAATCTGCAGTATCAGATCAGAGATTTATTTTTTTCTGCCTTTTCAGCTGGTGCTATAGCATAATTTAGCCTTTATACCAATAGAAAAATGCAAAATCTAGAGTCCTCATGTCCAAACTCACTTTCTACCACAAGTTACCACACTGCATTGAATTGAATAGCCATTACTGTTTCCCAGAATTCTGCCCAAATTTGTAACAGAAAAATACTTCTGAGGCAATGTTGCTAGTGTTATCTAGATGACAGTACCTGATGATTATGACTGAGATTGTCCTGTATGAGCAGAGTTTAAAGCTACCTGTTTGAGGATGTTACCCTGCTGAAGGTGCTTGGTTCTGGATATGAGTGTCCTGCACACCTGCTACAAGGCCGTAGCAGCTCCAACCAGCTCTGTGCATCACTTACTACTGCACAGTTCTTGCTATCCCCGTCTGGTGAAGGTTGGCCTCTTCCCCATGTAACAGTGATGAGATGGAATGGCCTCCAGTTGCACCAGGGGAGATTTAAGTTTGCTATTAGGAAAAACTACTCTGAAAGAGCAGTGAGGCACTGGCACAGGCTACTCAGAGAGGTGATGGAGTCATTGTCCCCAGAAGTGTTCAAGAACCAAGCAGATGTGGCACTGAGGGATGTGGTTTAGTAAGCAATATTGGTGGAAAGCAGACAGTCAGACAAGATGATCTCAGAAATTTTTTTCAACCTTAATGATTCTATGATTACAAAAGCCAGATGATTCCCATACTGCCAAATCAATTGCAAGCACTGTGAAAGACCAGGTAGTCACCAGACAGAAAAGCTTTAAGGAGAGCACAATACCAAATTAATGTGTGGTCTCATCACACAGCATCACAGAATCATTAAGGTTGGAAAAGCAAGTGCTGTCAGAAAGAGGGACCCATTCTGGATGCAGCCACAGCCCTGACACCAGACAGTAAGGACCTAACACTCTAGGTCTCAGCACATAGGGAGCTCAGGCTGCAACTAAGGTCCTTGTGCTGGATGCCAACCCTAATGCTTTCACAGCCATGGTTCCTGCAGTGCTCATCTGCTGGGGATCAGCAGGAGAGGAAGAGATGGCTGCTAGTCAACAGCACAGCAAACCCATGCCTGTGTGCTAGCTAATGCAAGGGGCAGGGAGACTCATCCAAAAGCCTTGACCCATCCTAATTAAGAGAAATGTTCATTCTTATAGCCAAACAACTCTGAAATAGATGAAAATCTCTTCCCAAAAAAAAAAAAAAAAAAGTCTTACTTCATTTCAGGATACCAAGCATATCTTTATAGACTGACATCTTCGCTTCTGCAGAATTTTTCTATGGTTATTCATTTATTTATTTTATATTTGAGACAGATTTTGTTTCTTAAGGTCAGAAGCACTCAGTTTACCCAGCTATTTTTAGCCAAGCTGGACAGATTCATTGAATTATGCCATGAATTATTCATGGTACCAGGAAACAGCCTAGGCATTCATATTATATTTGAAAACAATGACAGCTTCTCACATTTTTGCTGTGCAACTACAAATCCTGGTGCCAGAGAGAGTCTCACAGGTTTGTCAAGGGGCCAGAAATGAGCCTGTTTTCCTCTACAGACCACTATCTTTATTCAAGGGTTAGAAACATGATGAAAGTCACTGAGGCCTATTACTATGAAGATGGAATATTTCTCCACAACTTTGTTTTATTATTAGCATCACTTATATCAAAACTTACATTGCATCTTTCTTTCCTGAGCTTAAAGAGCCACACCTACCAAAGCAGACAAAAGGTCCTCAGAGCAGAGAAAAGAACAGTAGGGAAGAAATTGCTGCTGACTGTTCTGGAAATATCCTTCACCCAACTTACTAATTATACACTCTGTTGATCACCTATAATTATGATCTGAAAGGAAATTCTACACCCTAGCAATTTAGCTGGTGTTTCTTTCTTAAAGTCAACCATTTCCACTCTAATGAACCTCAGCATGAAGCAGCAAAACCTTGAAGGGAAAGGCTACAGGCATGAAAATGAGTGCCCGCTGTCTCATTAACATTTTACTTGCTTGGCTAGGAGTCCTTTTGTTACAGGAAGCTAAGTGTTTTTATGGCCAACTCCCCTGAATCCGTAATAATATCCAATATGAATATAAGTGATTTCTGCTTTTAAGCTACTGAGACTCTAAATAATCTCCACTAAAGCTAATGTATCCACAGTCAATGTGCAGCACTAGCTAAAATACAAGTAATTGCTGCCTTGGCCAGCTCCACAGCCCAATTCTAAAAGCAAAGCATGTCTGGAGCTGAAGTTTCTTTTTTCCATTTGCTAAGAAGTTAACAGGCTGAGATGCCCCGGCACACAGCTAAGCTCCCAGCAACCAAAGCAGTTTCCCTGCAGAAGTACAGCTGAAGACACCAGTGACACACAGGTATTCCTCAAAGGATTTCTCAAAAAAACCCTACAACTCATAAGGTTGTGTTTAACAAATTAAGAAGGTTCTCAAGGAGCCATAAAGAATATATGGCTCCAAAGCCTATACTTAAGACATTCCTAGAAATTAATATAGCAGTTAAGTGAAATTTAACAGCAAAGAAGTTACTCCTAAGACTCCTGCTGCAGTGGAATCCTTCACAAACTCCAGAAGAAATTCATCATATAAAAACAGGTCAAATACGAAAAAAAAAAAAAGAGGACAGCTAGCTCTGAATGAATTTGCATGGGAAATGCAATTCTCCTGAGCTCTACTCTCACCTTCAGCGGCCAACTGGTTCCAAACAAAAATTAGCTTGATGAGGAGGGCAACAAGTAGGAGACAATACGTGGTCACACATCCACTTCACTGGCCACTCTGTAGAGAAAAAATGGTCAATCAGAATCATAGAACTGCCTGAGTTGAAAAGGACCACAATGCTCATCCAGTTCCAACCCCCTGCTATGTGTGGGGCCACCAACCAGCAGCTCAGGCTGCCCAGAGCCACATCCAGCCTGGCCTTGAATGCCTGCAGGGATGGGGCATCCACAGCCCCCTTGGGCAACCTGTTCCAGTGTGTCACCACCCTGTGAGAAAAGTTTCCTCCTAATATTTAACCTAAACCTCCTCTGTCACAGTTTAAGACCATTCCCCCTTGTCCTATCACTCTCCATCCTTGTAAACAGCCATTCTCCCTCCTGTTTTTCCAGCCACCTTCTCACTATAATCGTGAAGGGTTTAAGTGACAAAAGTGGAAGAAAAGATCAGCAGCAAGGTCAAAGGGAAGAAGACTAAGAAACAAAGACAAGTAGTAAAGATTAAACTATACAAATCAGTAATTAATGCCTCTACATATGACTTTCATTTGCTCTCTCTAACTTCCACAGAAACCAAGGCTGCTTAGATTTTTAAAAAACTCTCCTATTATTAAAATTCAGAGACAAAAGCAGTGTGTGTCCCAGGCTATCTGATGCAAGAAGCAGGTAACCTAACACAAGTGAGGCTCCTCAAATACCTGAGGACCAAGTCAAAAACCTTCCTCAACCCAGGGGAGATGCCTCTCCAAACAGAAAGCGCTCACAGGAAAACCTGTCTTCTGCTAAGGACTTAACCTGTACTTATAATGAGTACATTTGGTCTACCTCACTAGAGCTCCTAATGCCATCAGCACTATCCACTATAAGAACTTAGTAAATACTGCTCTTCTAAAATACTAGAAATCAGCTTTTCCTTAGATAATTACCCTTCTGCAAGCTGACTTATTACCAAGAAAGGAGAAATTTTTCTGATCTCACTAACATGCATTTGTTTCCCTAATTTCCATCATTTCTTGCAATGCAATCCCTCTAAGTGTTCCATAATACATGTACATCCCAAGAAAACTGAGTTCCATTTTTTAGCCCCTATGGCCAGCTGCTTATCTCTTTCTCCCCTGGTTCCTCATTGGTTGAATATATACCCATATTGTTTAGAACATTCAAAATCTATTGCAGCTTTGTGAGAAAGTATTTGTTAGGTAATTAGGTAACTATGTTTCTAAAATATATTACTAATATGTATATGGTATTCTTACTTTCCACATCAGCTATTTCTAAGGATATGTTACAGCTTAATTACTCAGATCAATTGCCCTTTTCAGTGTTCAATGCAGAAACAACACTTCCACTTTCCACACTCTTTAACTCTGTACTGTGTGGTCTCAAGTCTCTTCTGCTTGAGCATGCCAAGTTTTATAGAGGGAAAAAGCTACAAGACTGCCCTTTCCATGAATCATTAGCAGCCTAACTCAAACTTGTCTGATGAGCTTTGTGTTTAAGTGAATGTTGATAGGCCACTAAGCACAACAACACTGTCACCGAAAGCCTGTTTTACTCAGTAAATCATAATTCAAAGAAGAGGGACTAGGTGCCTGCTTGGTCCCAGTATATCATTGGTATCAATTACACAGGACAAAAATCTGAAACACTGGGCAATCTCGCACGCATTGGTTCCCACAATAGCTCTGAGAAACAAGTGGTCTCAGAGGAGCCAAAGAGAAGCTCAGCCAATAACTTACTATTCTGCTTCCAGCCATGACAAATGAAATGGAAGAAAGGGTAGAAGACTGGCATGCCTCTCTCCAATTTGCTCTTTACACAGTCTGTGGTAGGATTTCTTAAGGATAGGATGCTTAAAGTGGGAGGAAAGAAGGGAGATTTAGTATGGAAAGTGCACGTAATTTACAGCATTTGAATCAGTGCCAGTTTAAGTTCCTTTAATTATCAGATTTGCACTTCGTCTTCCTTTATGAAAAAAAAAAAAAAACAAAAACGAAAAGCATTTTACAAAATGTGGGATTTCTGGCATCACAAAAAGTCATGAGGAGTCAAAGTCAGAAATGACTCAAACATCAGCTGCTGAGCATTTTCTTATACCAAGATCAGCACCTTACTTTTCCAGTCTGAAAAGGGGTAAGACGTGCTTTTTATTACTGAGATGGTTTATCCCACATCTCTCCTATTCTTCAAGGGCACCTCTACTTAGAGAAGCTTCTCTAATGCAGATTGAGTCAGGTTCTCCTTCTGCATCATGACTATTTTATTCTGTCCCTAAAATTAGACAAGTACCTCTTTGTGCACACCTGTCATAAACAGATAAGAGTTTTGAAACTTTTGCCATATAGCCCAGACCTTGTATTGTAGCTCAGGGAACCAATTTAAAGTCCCCAAAGACTTCAGAACTACAGAACAAGAAAGAAAAACAGATTCAAATAAGGGTTTGTAGTCTTTGTTCACGGACACAGTAAATAGCACCTTGTGATGAAGACCTTACACAACACTGCAGGAGAGTACAATTCTGATTCACCCTGTGCACACTTAGGGCCAGGAACCTCCATTTCAGAAGCCAAACAGCATAAAATAGTGGGAAAAAATAACAATAAACACTTCCACAGCAGTTCTGATATGAGGTTTTAGCAGAGGCCAAGAACTTGCCACCAACAGCACATCATTTCAGAGAGACAGACCATTTATGAAGACATCCAGTGTTTAAAGTAAAGACCTTTTATCACAGAAATCCCACTGCGGCATCACAAATAGTTCCAGCAGTTGCATATTCTCACAGAACTATGTTGTGCCTTATTTTCAACTGATAATTTCTACCTTCAGATTTCAGCTTCTGCCCTATTCTTCAGAAAATTCTTATTTAAGCTGTGGATGAGTGCAGCCAAGAAAAAGTTACCAAACTCAATCCTTCCCAGGAGTAAAATCAAGAACTGAAAGTGAGATGCATTAGCATCCCCATGCAATAGGTAAGGGTAGACAGTTCTCTCAAAAGCATATGGACTGCTGGTATGCAATGCAAGACTAGGCAGTAGGATTTACCCTGGACGTAGCCACGTCTTCATCCCTGACAGCTGGGACTTAGTCACCTCTGACTTCTGAAGACCCACCATCACCACACAGTCCCCCAGTGTACCAGGACAGGACCATTCCCTAATGGTTAATCTCCATGTATTTTCTATTGAAGAACTACAGAGGATTCTGTCTCCTTTTAAAAATGTATCTGACTGTGGTAGTGACTACTTTCAAATGTGATTGTTGTCAAAGCACTCATGTGGGAAGCTGAAAACTCCAGTTTAAATCTATCCTTAGATCACAGATCATTGGTAAAGCTTATATTTGTATCACCATGTTTTTACATCAATAGAAATGCTCAACTCTGGTTGGGAAGCCTATATTGTTTTCTCACTGTCTGGCCTCAATTCTTGAGTTGTCCCTGGAGCAACTATAGGAACTGGGTAAAGTGTGCTACCCATCACCAGCAGCCTGCAAAGAACACTGCAGTTCTGTCATTGTCCTAGAGTCGCTGTCAAAGTACAGGTCTGAAGTTCATTGCTCACAACCAACTTCACAATTGATCACAATGAACTTTAGTCCTGCACTTCTCAGGCAAATGTGCAACCTAGTTGCACACTGCAGCGATGCAAGCCTTCCTGTGATTAATACTGTCCAGTGCTAGAGACTTCCACCATTACAGCTGTCATCAATGACATCCTTGTGAAAAGGCATCACTTCATCTTGAAGTATCTATAAAAGGATATATCTGTACTGTTTCCCAAACCAAAGGAGAGTCCTTAAATGCATCTAGTAGTGAGAACCGCTGAGTGCATTGGCTTCTGAAGTATTTTAGTATTAACTTTGTGAAGCTCTGCTATTTCCATTTTTTTGTGTCATAAGCAAATAAAATGTGATGATCCACAAGGGAAGTCAAGCCTACTTCTCTGTTAAGACAATCACCTTAATGAATAATTAGTGTAAGAATATTAGTAACATTAATACTTAATGAGTTGAATCTTCTTTGCATCACATCCTCTAGTTTCTACTTGCTAAATAAAACTTTATTTATTATCTTAAATTAAAGGACATTTCTGAAATGAGATACAATAAAATTGCAAAGAAGGGAAAGCTAATCAAGATAATTAAAATGAAAAATTGTTAGAATAATTCACTTTCACCTGCAGTTGCAGTATAGTTGAACCAAGAGTTTCTAATTAAACGCAAAAGTATGAGAAGTGCAGTTCAGCTGATTTGCATTTATGGAACTGGAAGAAAATATTACCTTATTAAAGTGAGTTTCAGAGGAAATGTCATAGCACAGAGGTTGGCTTGACTTGACTTTCTAGTAGATTATGCAGTCATTTATAAATTTGACTGCTTCACAGAGCCAGCTCTTCTGCAGCTCTAAATCAGCATGGTCTCACTGAAGTTAATGAAGCCGCATCAATTTATACCAGGTAAGCATCTGCCCCTAACCATTTCAATGCATATACTGCTGCACAGAGCAAAATTCAACCACGTCTGCCCCTATATACACCTTAGAAAGATGCCAATGAAAGACAGCATAGTGCTGCTGCGCCCACATAATCAATTTATCCATATTCTGCTATCTGAACAAGGGCTGTAGCACGCTGTCTACCTCTGGCAATTTATTCCTGCAGCTACATATAAGAAAATGGCCTGGATGATATTTGCTGGCCCTGTTTATGTGGAACCCAGTTTATCTGGAACCCAGCACATGAACAATGCTGTTTTCAATCTGGCATGCAGTGCTTGCTAAATTGAAAAAAAGTGCTTAACCCAGTGCCTAAGAGCCCTCATTCTGAGTTGACCCCTCATATCCGTAGCTGGGAAAGTATAAATATGTGCAGCCTGGCACAATACACCACCCACATCCTTGATGGAATCTTTGCTTTCCTACCCGCACTCCCATCAGTGGGATTAACACAACATGGTTACAGCAAAAATAGAGAAACCAAGCCCTCTATCAGGGAAACAGCCTATTATTTCATAAACATGAAGTAACTGATGGCTGCTCCTGCATTATCCTATTGCCTGTGCATACATTCTTAATACAATATTATGAGGGTATTCCAACTATTTTATTCTGATTAGGTTATCTAAGACAACTCCGGTATCTTAAACTCCTAAGGCAGAAAGTAAATATCTTCAATGACGCAAATAATAAATTTCATCTCACAGATATAGTAAAAGAGATCTCTATTGGCATGTGCTACAACATCACAATTATGTCTAGATTACATATATATCATCCTTAGTATTGGCTGAATATTTACTACGTGTCTTGAATAGGAAACCAGAATTAGTCTATTGAAGAAGCAAGTGCTATTACATATATTTTATATTTTGTGCAAAAGAAATGGACTGTTTCCACTATGTTCTAAAAGCCTTTTCTAGACAAACTACAGCTTTTCTGTGGTCAGGGAGTCAGCTGTCAAACTCCTGTTACATCAGAGGCAAGGGTGATCTACTGGCAGAGGTAACAACACCCCAGCAGAAGAGATGCTTCAGCAAGGAGAAAGCTGATTTCCAGCTCTGCTTCATTCATTGCAGCTACAGGCCTAAATTAACCTTGCAAAACTGTCATGAAAATGTATCAGGCCAAGCATAAAATTTACTCTACAACTCTCTATCATAACAGAGATGACAAAAAAAATTAATGACATTTAGCTCACCTGTCAAGTTGATTGCTCAACCCGACTAAAGAGCAACAGTTCCATGGAGCAGTCTCAGCTGACAAGCTCCAAATCACAGCCATGTTGCAGAACAAAAAACAAGGCAACGCCATCACACTAATTAGGGAGCTGTACAGCCTGGTGGTCTTCTCAGCTGCCAAGGATAAGGGGATGGATAAAAAGCCCACATTGACCTTGCTGTTAAACACAAATTATGTCATCAGGTCAAATAACCTTTCAACCCCATTTTACTTAAAGTATATTTGGCTGTTTTGTTTAATTTATCTCTTAAATCATTTCAGTTTAGTATTAACTGTGGAATTACACATGTGATCGGGAAATCCATTTTAGAGAAACTAAATTGTTTTAATACTGAGCGTACAATAGCCTGTGTTTATGTTGATTGCCTGTTACATATCAGAGGAACTCTTCTATATGCTTCGGGCAACTGTTGCTGAGATTAAAAATATTCAACAGTAGCAAATAGCTGACTTGCAAGTAACCCACATCTACCATCACAGGCATGATTCATTGAACTGCGGAAAGCCAAGAAATTCTTGAGACAGGTCAGTCCACAACCACTCCAGAAGTAGGAGCACATGTATGTCTTCCACATTTACCTGGCCAGTTGTGTCACCGCCATTCAGGACAGCCAGAGCATGAGGAAGATGAATAAGCAAGTGAGAAAAAGGAACAGTAGCAGGCTTCCTACATGGGCTAAGAACTCCTTGGGGTTCTCATGGTGTTACCCAGATGCAGCTGACACAGCCCAGCGTACCAGAACAACAAAGTCAGTATGGGACAAGATCAGTACAAGACATTGAGTCTGTTTTGGTGTGCGGAAGCACAACTGCTGGCAGGAGGCTGCTAAGGTCCTGTGTGAGCAGGACCTCCCATACATACAGCAGGTCTGGGCCAGCTTTGACAGGAACAGACCCCTGTAGGGCCCATGGAGGGCACTGGCTGCAGCAGCCCATCCTCAGGGATGGAGGCCAGGGAAAAGATGACAATGTGGAAATAGCAAAGACTGGCTCCTATGGGCTGACAGTGGAAATAAATGGTGGAGGTGCTCAAGACACTGCAGGGGGTGCTGGGAGACAAAGGGCATGCATGAAAATAAGTTCCTAATCAAGAGAGAAGCAGACACATTACATTTTTTTCCCCGAAAGAAATGTGTACATTTTCACAGATAGCCACTAATCTGTGATGCCAGTACAAAAAAATAAATGAAAACACTAAAGTACCCAAAATTCTCGATACCTTCTTGGTACTCAAAAAACCCACATACATAAGATCCTTTGAAACCCAAAAAGCTCACTGGATGTTGCTGTTACTATAAATACTACAACTGTATACAGTGAAATGAAATTCTAAGGACAGGAAGACACTGAAGTAAGAAGATGCCTGCAAGGAAAAATAAAAAAAAAAAAAAAAAGGGAAAAAGGAAATCTTAAACAAAGAAAAAACAGGTACAGCTGGAAAGAAGATAACATGTTTCATCCTGAGATTGAGGTCACCCTTCAAAAAAAGACAAAGCATTACCCTTCTCAATTACAAAAGGGCAAGATTTTTTCTAGCTTTATTTGCCAAAAGCAAAGTACAAGTCCATTAAAATCAACCATATTTGGGATGCTCATTCAGTCTGCAGAGCTGTTGGGATAGTTAGTAGACTTTCTATGGCTGCAAGTTGATCATAAGTGGCCTCAGAGAACAGAAAGACATAAAGTCCAAATTATCAAAGTCAACTCATACTGTTTCATCATACAACCTTGCAGAGTTACCATCTACCCTTTTTTGTAACTTCCACATAATGAGATTCCAAAGTCTGGAAATGCCTCCCTTTTTTAATCTTTGGACAGAGGAACCAGGCACATCTTGAGGTTCTGGCACCTTCCTAGATCCAGGAGTGCTCTGTAAAATTGTTAGCTCTGCAGCATAAGGAAACATCCAGGATCTAGCAGCCATCAAAGCATACAAGACATGCAAGACCTCTCTTACAAGAGAAACAATGTTAGTGCTGAAGCTACAGCTGACACACATTTATTACTTAAATGACAAATTCACAGAACATTTGCTTCAATAACCTTTCTTGTCTGATGAAGTACATACTTACAATTTGAAGATATCAGTATTCAAGGTTATTTAATGAATTATGTGAGTATATCCACATTGCTAGGTGTTTCTGCTACTGCATTTGTGATGAGATTTTCATTTCGGAGCAGGAGGCCGTTGTGTACCAATTCAATTTCCTGATTAAAGAAAACTCAAGTCAAGGAGGCCAGAATAATATTGCTGCTTCAATACAATGTTCCATTTATCTAGACAGCTACAGTACTTTACCCAGACATTCCTGATGCCAGAATTCACCAGAGAGAAGCAGAGATGAAATATATGAAGAGAAGTTCTAGAGAACACTTTTTCCTCAATCAGTACATTCTCACAAACATTAGACTTAGAAAAATTTCCAGGAAGAGTTGGTAGATCTGATGTGTAGAATGAATGACCTGCATAAAAGAGCTGGAAATGAAAAACGTAAAACAACAAGGCTCCATAGATTATCATATCAAATGAAAATTGTGACTTTTTCTGTCTCCTCGCAGTATTTTGCTCTGCTATTGCGTCTGTTTCACTGATCTAAAAGCCAGACAGCCAGGGTGAGGCACAGAAAGCGTAGATTTGCTGTCTTCCATCCTCTCTCCAGAAATAGTCCAGTTTCATAACAGTATTTATAGCATGACCCCTCAATCAGCAGTATCAGCACGGCTGAGAGGGCAGGGAACAGCCATGCAAGAGCTTCAACTACACAAAAGCCAACATTAAACCATAACTCTATTTCTGCAACCCCTCCTACCCCTCCCATCTTTCAGAAGCTGCTATCTTGGAAGACACATCACAGCAGGATGTCCTACTGCTTTTAGTGTTGACAGAGTAAAAAGTGAAATCAATAAAAATAAAATGCTACAAACATGTAACCTTTTAGGTACTCCAACTATCCAACCAGCCAAGCCCAATGAAGCATTATTCCAGACAAAGCATTTACAAACACATTAACCAAGTCTAGTTTTATTCAGACATCCTCTATTATGTTTTTTAACCACATCTGACAAAAACCTAATTCTGATATACAGTCCAGAAATTCTCTGGATAGCATTCACCCTGCATATATAATTAATCCACTTCCCTTAATTTCTCATTCCTTTCATTTGCAGATGTAAGATCTCATCTGTTCCTTTTTCCTGCTGAAACTGAACCTGAGAAGCCAATGCACAAAAGTGCTAAGATACCTCTCCTGCCAAAAAACACTTGTATTTGACAAACAGGTACTTGTAAGAGTAATACCTCCACAGGCATTATACTGAAACTCTGGACATTAAAAGGAGACTAAGGTATTTTTCCTATTTGAATTCAAATATTGCCTTCATTGCTAACATGCTTAGTAAGAAGGACAAAAAAAAAGGGAGTGCACAACACTGAACAATTAAGTGATATCCCTGAAAGAGAAGGGAAATGCTCTATTCACACTGCCTGAAAAAAAAGAAATTGACTCCCCCTCACCACACACACACACACACACAGAAAAAGCCTGCAACCAACCAAAAAAAGCCAAACAGGATATAGCTAGAAGAAAACAAGAACAAAATAAAAGAACAACCAAGTGCAATTATTTAATTGCTGCAGTATTTACTTAGTTCTAGCTCTAATTTGCTGCAGGTCTCCTTAATCTTTCATTTAGGACTAAATTACATAATAACTTGCCAATACACAATTAGAAGTTCACTGAATTTGAAAGAATTTATAGTTTGGTATACAGTTTTCTTCATGCTTTCAGAGAATTTCAAAAATCATGAGCTTCACAGCTGTGAATTCATTTTTAACTTGATGAAATTTCAGTAGAATGATTAAGAGATTGCTATAATATAGGCTGAGCACATTATATTATATATATTATAGTATAAATATATTATATATATTTTATATTAAATATATTACATTATAATATAACATATTGTGCTCAGCCTATATTATAGGTAAACCCAGAACTGGCCAAGGGGATACGCAACTATGTGCATATCTCTCCCACCTCTTCCATTTCATAGCAGGATACACAGAAATGCAACATAAGCTTTTAAAGAATCACGCTGCTGTGTGAAGCCAGTGTAACTTCCTCTTGGAAGCCAGGAGAAGTGCAGCTAGGTGGGTAAGTAGATATGATTAAATTGTTAAAGCAGTACACCTTGTCAAGTGCTGACAAATGTTTTAATAGCTTGCATTAACGAACAGCTTCAGCTTAAAGCGCCACGTTTCTGTTGCACCAGAACAAAAAACTTCTTTAAGCTGTTCATTTAACTTTGCACCTCCCTTGGTCTCTCAAGAGTTTTTTTTAGAAAGGAGAGCAATTATCACTGAAGAGAGGGATATTTGAGTGTTGGGAAGATAAATCACAAGTGAAGCAGTGTGTTCATAGACAAAAAAGTTACGCACTATGAACTGCCTTTCTCCCTACAATGTGCATTCAAGATGCATCAGCTCATTTCCTGAACTCGTAACAAACCTGTTGAAAAGCTTCACCAATCATTTAAACATGTAAAAAATTAAAACGTTGTATGAACATATGGAGAAATAGACTGATTAATCAAGACAAACAAGAAAATCCTACTGCTGAGACAATGAGGGAAAGAGGAGAGGCAAGCCATCATAATCAATCCATAGTATAAAGTCAATTCAACTATACTTCTGTAGGATGAAAGCACAAGGAAAAAGATAAGTAAACGATTTGTAAAGGAAACAAAGTGAGTTGTCTTGAAAAAGGAGAAGTGAGAGTTCAGGTTCCTCCTCATTAGGCAGAAATACTAGATGTTCAGTTGGTTTAGGGTTGACTTCTGGGAGCTTCACCTAGATGGCAGCTAAGAGAACTAATAGAAGACCATCTTACATGGTTAATTACTTCCTCAGACTCCCCAAATTAAAAAAAAAAAAAAAAGATAGGATGCTGGCATCAGCAGGAAAAAGATCTATCAGCTGTTGTCACAGAATATTGAGACACTGCAGAATATTAATAAGTATTTTTAAAAATTTCTTCCATAACTTTGTTTCCACCTCTGTTCTCAGGAGTACAACGTTAGCTTTAAACAGAAGAACTTGTAGCTCTCAAGAACTACAGGAAGTTAGTTGAAACTGACTGACATGCCCTCAGAGATAAGTAGCCTGGTAGAAACATCAAGGAGGCACACAGCAAGTTCAAGTGAATTAGAAAGGGTCAGGTATCAGGATGTACAGAGTGGTAAGTTGCAAGTTTGAAGGGAAGTCTGATCCTGCAAATGCCAAGTTCTGAGAAAGAGGCCCTTGCAGACCCTAGCTGGGAGGAGAAAGGCAGCCAAGAGGCAGTTCAAAACTCATGTTCTAGGCCCTGTCCCAGTACCTAATGCTATCTTATTGCTTTGGATATGGGAAGAAGCCAACTGTTTAAAGCTATGCTGCAATCATCTAGAATAAAAGATATCTGTCCTAAACTCAAACCCACTGCTAGGATCTAGGTAGGAATGCATTTATGGAGGCCCAACTGTTGATGAAGCAATTAATCCTCTTAAAAGACTTGACAAGTTGAAGAAGATCATTTGAATTCTCTTCAGAAACCCCTTCTGCATTGGATTATATGACAATAGACCTTGCCAGACAAATTATGCAAGTCCTACATAACCTTATAACCTACTAAATTCTATTGACTTTATCTCCCCTGTCCAAATTACTCATTCTCAAGTCTAATACCTATTGAGGTGGCATTATCAACTGAAATTGCATGGAAACATAAGTAGCCAAGCTTTTCATGGCAGTGTTTTCTTGCATTTATGGATAGTGTTTCATTCCATTTATGACTACCAACACAACAAATCTAACAGGATTTCCTACTTTGGTAATTGAGCATGCTGATTTCTTACTAGCAATATTGCTCAAATGATATAGTTATGAAGGACACTAAGAAACAACAAAACAAATCAAGAAAGCTATTACAGTGGCAGAGGAATTTATTTCTTCCTACCTCCCACCAAAAATAACGTATCCTTATTGTTTCAGACTAGTATGACTGTAGTTATTAAGTCATTTTATATGCACATAGATTCATCCCCTTTCTTCATACCACTGTAAAGGCAGAATAAAGGCCTTCTGTGATAAATGCAGACCATAAACCTAATGTGTTCATGATATAAGAAGGGTGACACATGCCAAGAAGTGCCAGATAACTGATGTTTGACTTAAGATCCTGATTTCTGAATAAGCAATAAGCTATTAGATATTCCATGATATGCCACAAGCAAAAATACAAGGCATCTGAACACAATAACAGAGGACAATACTGAGATGAAAGAACTTGGTTAATTCTAAGGTTCTTAAATATATAGAGGAATCCTATAAAATCTTATAGGATAATTTTGCTGGCTTCAAGCTGCCTACCTGTACAGCAACTCTAGTGTATTTCTCTAAATACGTCTACTGAATGACTCCAAGAACTATTCCTGAAAATTACTGCATTTCTTCATCACTGGAGTTGATGGAAATGCATTGGAGAAATCTGGACAACATCTGAAATGTTTCATAATCTATACATCTTCCAAATGAAAGAGTTCTTAGGGTATAGAAATGTACCCTCAGATGAACCATATAAAGTTAAGAAAAGTTGAAGATCTAAACACCCAAATAAAATGCAGTTCAAGTTCTAAGAAGTAGCAGGATATTTTTCAAATACCAATATATCGTGTCTCAATTTTAATGAGGAACAATAACAAATAAAGGCATAGAAATTACATAATTCATTAGCATTAATGCATAGTAATAAGTAATAAAATTATTCAGAGCTGCAGAGTTGTTAATGCCAAGTGATGCAAAGGAAACCAAATGTCTGAAGACAATATCTCAAGAAAGGGATAAATGGAGATTCATGTCAAAGAACATGAGCTGCATGCAAAGCACACTGGTTTACATTTCAAACAGGTAGTACAGTAGTTTTTAATCATAGCGTAATAATTTCCATCTTACACAAGGAAGGTGATTTCCCACTGCAGCTTAGCTTCTTTCCACTTGAATTTCCTGGGAGACAGGATGGTACAAGCATGATCAGATGGCTGAGGAACAAAACCCACCTTCCTCAGACACACTGACCCAATATTTTGACTTAATTTTGGTTCTGAGCAAAGCATACTGCTGGTGTCACAACTGCATACAAACTTGGAACAGAGCAGGGTAGTAGATTCTG